GCTGCTTTTCAAATTTCGCTGAAGTCAAGCACATTTAAATTTTTCAATTAATTTTTTCTTTTTTTTCATTTTGGCAAATAAGAATATAACATGCCGAAATGAACTGGTATAAAACTAGTATGAAGTTGATGAATACTCCGACAATGTACAGTTCGTAGGACTGTTAAAAATACCAGTTGCTTAGATGGTAAACAGTTGAAAGATGTGCCAGGTAGTGTAAAAATGTAAACTTGTTGGATTTTAAAGAGTTCTCCAATAAGTGCTGTTATTTCAAATGGCCTGCTTTTCCAGTAGATGTCACCATTTAAGTTGTAATTTTTTGACATTTAACAAGTAAAAGCTGCTTCAGTAATAAATATGTATGGTTACTCGCTTCAAGAAGGTTTTGAAATTACTAAAATTCATTATAAAAATAATGGAAAACCCGGCAGAGACGGCTCGTTAATCTCAAGCATTGTTCGGTCGCCGTGTCAGACCGCAATACAGAAATTGGTGGAAGAGATGGAGCTGCTGTGACAAGTTAGTGATGTGAAGACTAAAACACAAACACGTCACTCAAGAACAACTCAGAAGAATGCAGCTGTGGCCTAAAGTGATGAAGAAGGTTTGCCAACTCCTGATCTTACTTTGGAATTGTGGATTCCACGAATACCAGTACAACGCATTTTACATAAATACTTGGGTTTTAAGGCTCATTAAGTACAATTAACAGAAGAACTCAAGCTTACAACAAAATCCCCTTACTGACTGAGTCCTTGAACGGCATGAATATGAAGCGGAATTTCATCGAAAAATCATTTTGACTGTTGAGGCTACTCATTTCCACCTCGTTGGTCACGCCAATAAGCAAAACTGTGCCAGCTGGGACTCGGAAAACCAGAAGATTTATCGTTGGAAAGCCTCGCCATCCTCTACGGGTTACTTTTGTTGTGCTATTTATGATCCGGCGGGGTTCTTGGATCTAAATTTTACGTTAATGAGGCTGGCTCAACAGTTACGATGAATGGATTCCATAAACGTGAGATGATTAATGATTTTTTAAGGCCGAAATGGTAACGAATTTTTTTTGGATGACGTTCACTTTCAACGAGACGGCGCTGCGTGACACACAAGCAACGAAAGCATGGATATTTTGAGAGAAAAGTAGCCGGACCGTGTTATCTCTCGAAGAGGGGATTGCAATTGGGAAACGACATTTTGTGATTTAACACCTTGCGACTTCTGCCCTAGGGTCCACCTGATGCAAGACCCCAAGTATGGATTTCGTGAAGCTCTTGAGGGCATTTAGCCGCCGTCTTGCGATTTGGTAATAGATAATTTCATAAAAAGTATAAGAGATCCTCGACTTGACTAATATTGTTTACCATTATTAATGGCATACCTTCTTCACAACAATGACAAAAACATGCGTTCATTTAACACAAAAAATCTAATTTTTCTTTGTATATGAAAATAGCAGCTCTTATTGGAACACCCTGTAGTTAAAAGCTAGTATTTTTCCCAGCAGGGCATTGTTGCATTTGCTGTGTGTGTGTCCGAGTGCATGTGGCCATTGTTGTGACGTAGTTTTGTTTGTGTTTATGCCAACGTACAGTTGCAAATCCTCTCGCTGCATATTTTTTCTCCGCTGCATTTTTAAGTTATTATTTATTTGCTGTTGTAAATTTGCAGAAGTATGTCTGTATTTTGCCATGTTTTCCCCCCTTTGATCGCTCTCTCTCTCTCTTCTCAGCGTTGTTGCTGTTAGTTTGTTGCATACACTCGTTGTTGCTCTGTTTCTTTAACAATTTCATCCAATTTTACGCGCTCCATATTTACTTTGGTTACGCACAGGCACACATTTATATTTTTTTTGTTGTATTTGCATTCGCTATTTTTCTACTCTTCGTTCGTGCAAATGTTTCACTTTCGTATTTTTGTTTTTGAAATTTTTTTTGATATTTTTTTGATATTTTTTTAATATATTTTTTTTTTTGTTACTGTAAATTCAGTTTGAAATGCTGTTATTGTAACAACTGTTGTTGTATGCGAAACAAAAGCAGCAATATCACATTCAGATATTTGTTTACTTTCTTAAATAACAACAAGCAAACAAAAAGCAAAACAAACAAAGCAAACAGTCAAACAATCGGCAGCAACAGCAAATGCAAAAAAAAAAAAAAAAAATAAAATAAAATAAAATAAAATAAAATAAAATAAAAAATCAAATTAAAAATAAAATAAAAAATAAATTTAAAAAAAAAATTAAAAATAAAATAAAAAATAAAATAAAAAATAAAAGTGCATAAAACAACAAACATCACATGAAAACAAGGAATAATTTGCTCTTAAATCCTTGTGCAAACAACGCCAATTGCCGGCATCAATTCAACTGGATTGAAAATCAATTTTGTAGAATTTTTTTTCTGTCGACAGATACACGATATGTATGTATATACCATCAGCATGCATACATAGACATATTTGCATACGTAAATTGACACATTGAGTACCTCAGCGGTGATGTATTGTTCAAAGCAAGAAAAATACAATTTCACGCCCACTCAGATATTTCGCTCAGTATAGTGATAAGTCACCAGATTTGTTGGTAAAAAATCTCTTAAAAATCAATTTTGAATAGGGAAAGCAGCTAAAGGTTTTAGAGTGTGAAAAGTCGTTCAAAGGGTATACAGAATTATCTATTTTTCCATGTCGAAAATAAACTAAAATTAAATGAATTTAATTTATTTTTTTAATATAATTTATTTTATGAAATTTGTTTTTAATTATAAAGTTTGAGCTTGGACATTATATAATATATATATATATATATATATATATATATTTCAAGCACTCCATCATTCAACTGAGCGTCTCACGAATTTTTGCAAATTTTTTTTCGCTTGAGGTCATTTTCGACCACTTTTTGGCACCCTCGGACCAAAGATCACAACACACAACAGTTTTTTTTTGTTTTTTTTTGTTTTTTTTTGGGTGAATTGGTTCAATGGTTTGACGATACTCGGAGATCTAAATGTGAAAGGTTTGTTTATCTGCGTATCGGCCGAGTGAGAGTGTGAGAGATGTGCTTGAAGAAAATTTCGTTCGAGAATTCCCCGTCCACTGCTAGTTGTTGCGAGAGCTGCAATTTACATGGAAGGAAGGTGTGAGTCCAAGTGAAAAATATGGCATAATGTCCCAGATCGCAAGAATGTCGAGTAATATTCATTTACGGCTCTTCGGCTTCACTTACACTTTGAGTAGCGTTATTTGGGGGGTAATGCCCAAAGCGGCCTTACAATTTGTTTTAAATTTTACCAACTGCGGTTAACGCACGAAACTAGGCCATGTTAGATTTATCATTTTTATTTTTGGGTTAAGCATTTTTAACGCGTTGCAGAGGTGATATTCGATGCATTTTCATAAATGCCTCACTTTAAACGAAAGTGAAGCATGTTTTGTTTGGCACAATTAAGTTTGACAGTTAAGTTTGACAGTTAAGTTTGACAGTTAAGTTTGACAGTTAAGTTTGACAGTTAAGTTTGACAGTTAAGTTTGACAGTTAAGCTTGACAGTTAAGTTTGACAGATGTAAAATGCAACCCTGTAAAAAGTGAGAAGAGCAATATATCAATCACTAGTTTTCTTTTAGCCCATTTTGGTGACCAGTGTAAAAAGGTCCAATGCCGTCCCGGCGTATTTTTGTATTAAAGCCGCAGCTAAAACTTAGAGATCGGCACAAAGTTTGCGTATAGGTCTACCACGGCTATGCTTATGGTACCGTAACTTTTTTATGAAATTTTCCCGCAAAATATGCCTTCAATGGCATTACAAATTCCAGCTTTGCCGCAGCCACCGCATTCTTCAGATCTGACCCCTGTGACTTTTTCTTGTTCCCTAAACTGAAGGGGCCTATGAAAGGACGACGTTACGCTACGATTTACGAGATAAAGACGGCATCGAAGGAGGAGCTGAACAAGGATAAAAAAAGTGATTTTTTGAAGTGCTTCGAAGATTGGAAAAACCGTTGGCACAAGTGTATAATATCTCATGGGGATCACTTTGAAGGGGACAAAATAGATATTCATAAATAAATAAATAATTTTTGAAAGAACACAAAATTCGCGATATTTTTTTAACACACCTCGTATGTCATTAATACCAGTTTTAAGGGGTCACATATTCGTAGGTCTTGAAGGCCGAAAAAAAAATTATTTTCTCTAAATTTTTTTAAAGAAACTAAATAAAGAAAACAATTTCTTTTGTTTAAATACAAAAGTACAACATACAACATACAGTATGGACAACATTTGATGAAAATTTGAATGAGAAATAGTAGAAGTTAAGGCGTTGGCAATGACGTGCAGTAGACCGTCCATCAGAAAGTGCTTTCGCAGTAGACATGAGAACTTTTTCAATTTTTAACTGAAATCAAAAATCCAAATTTTTTTTTTAAAGAAGGTGAATTTTCCTTGTTCCTGAAGGAATAAATATTCAAGTATATAAAAATTGAATTTTTTGTAGCTTTTTTTTTACACGAAAACGTCATTTTTTGCATAAAATTAGGCCGCATATTGGCTCGTAAAATGAGTTGAAATTAAAGATAAAATAAATCCTTCATTCAGGGTCTCCAAAAACATGCTCAACAGAAGTGTGGAAAATTTGAACTCGAGCGCTTCAAAAGCCGTTGAGAGGTTTTGACTACCGATTTCAATAAAGTGGTTTTAAGAAAAACGAGCTTTAAAGTTACCCTATCGGTCAAGCTATGACAAAGACGGCGGCTTATAAGACTCTCCAGTTTCTACACTTTCGTCTCGATCGACTTGAAACTTTGGGGAAAATATTCCCGACACTTTGTTCCTTTATACAAAAAATTCTCAAAAAAAAAAAATTAGTCTTTTGAAGCCTCAAGACCCACGTAACCCCTTAAGTAAGAAAACATTTCCAAAATGATATTTTCGTAATTTTTATTTTAAATAAATTATGATATAATAATTAACATTTAATACATATTCAAGTATCGTATTTTTCATTAAATTAATTATTAATTATTGAAAAGATGCTCGCAGTGTTTTGCCGAGTGTCCTTATTTCCAGTGAATATAAAAAAATGTAAATTTTCGCCATTTACATTTTGCAGGACAAAGGCAAAGCTATAAACAATAACATATGGCAACCTTAATGGAAAATGATAATGAATAATTGGTGCATTAGAGAGGCGTGGCAGCTGCGCTTTCACATAATGAATACGAATAATTGTGAGCTGTAAGGACTTAAAAACTAAAGGCGGCCATGCGTTTGCCGCCTAAAAAGTATTTTATTGATTTTTTTTTATTATGAAACTTATTTTAGATTTCAACTCTTTGTAGAGTCATTTTGTTTACCGTTATAATAAATTAATTTTATGAGAGATTTAACAATGATAACTAGCATCGGTCATATCGGAGCCTTGTTTTTACCTACAAATACCCGATATACGAGTACATAGATATATTTACTCGTGGTAGTTAATGCTTGGCTTCGTCTTCAACTTCTGCTGCCACAATGGGTTTGATTTCTTGCACTGTCGCCACTTCTTCGCCGTCGGCGTTCACCTGCACTTCCACTTTCTCAGATTCGGCCACTTCGGGTTCGTTTTCATCGTCGGGCGTGGCATCTTCGTGAATGTCAGTGTCTGAGCGACTCTGCGCGCCATGACCGTAAATGTCATTGTTGTTGTGCTGATTGGTCACCACCTGCACAGAGTGTTGGTGCTGTACACCCTTGGACTGTGGCTGCTCAATGGCCGTCAGTATGGATTGCAGTAGACCCTCGGAGAGAATCTCTTCGTGATGCGCTGATTGCTCAGTTTGCAACGATTTAACGCCATTACCAGCAATATCTAATTGGAAGGTTGGTGCGTGTTGAGACTGCGCTGCGCCGCTTACCTGTGCGGGCGTGAGTTGTATGGATTGCGACTTTTGGGCTGAGATCACATTGAGACCATCAAGGCCGGGTAATTCTTGTGGATCAGTGCCGTCGGGCAAGGTGGCCACGGAGGATTTTTGTGAGGCGTATCCATCATAGTCATGGTCTAAATGATTGCCGGCAGTTGGTAGTCCGTAACTGTCTGCCGGTTCATGCTCCACGAACTGTGTGTGCTGCTCGGCTACGGGTATGCTCTGTGAGATGGCGTTGTAAGCGTTAGCCGAGTTACTTGAGACCGAGTTCGAGGCGGCATATTGTTGAGAATGCTGCTGTTCGAACTGCTGTTGTTGGTGCTGCGTATTGTATTGATTTTGCTGCTGCAGTTGATAGCCGGCACTCACGAGGTTTGGCCCCTGACCGCAGTCGTGAACCTGTGTAAAGCGTGGTTCCTGTTGCAAGGGTAGCGCTTGTGCGTGTATGAATTGCTCGTTGTGCTGTGAAGATGAATACGAGTTTTCAAAGCTCGATGCACTCGATGATGCACTGCTCTGCTGTTCGAAGGTAACCGGACCAGTTTGCTGTGTCGGTGGCAGGTATTCTTGGGATGGTGGTGGTGGTGGTGGCAGGAAGGGGCGGTTGTGTTGTGGTGGTGGAGGTGGTGGCGGTAGGTACTGCTGTTGTGGTGCTGGTGGTGGCAAAGGTGGACCGTATTGGTTCAGGGCGTTGCCATGTGGTTCCTGCAAAGGTGGTAAAAATTGAAATTGAGGTTGTGGTGGAGGTGGGGACAATGGTGGAAATTGCTGGAATGAATTCTGCTGGTTAAATTGTTGCTGTTGTTGTATATGTTGTTGGTGTTGGTGTTGTTGTTGTTGTTGTTGTTGTTGTTGTTGCAATTGTTGTTGATGATGCTGAAAGTGTTGTGTGTTTTGTTCGTGATGTTGTGCGTGTTGCCGATTTACCTGTGCGAAGTCCTGCGGCGGTTGCTGTTGTGGCAACTGCTGTTCGATAACACCGATTGGTACGTTTATTTGCGCTGGTGGAGGTGGTGGTGGTGGTGGTCCATACTCTGAAGGCACGTTAATAGGGCCGTGGTTGGCGATTTCATTTGCAGCGGGCGGTATATAGGTGGGCGGTTGAGTGGGTGGTTTTACGCCAAATTGATCCAAATGTTGGACGGTTGCACCAATTGACTCTAGCAGCCCTTGGGGTACTGGTGGACGGAAAGCCACCGGTCGGCTAGGCTGCGAAGCACCGTGTGTTGGCACATTTAGCACATTACCGGATTGTGAACCGTAATGCAAACCAGCCTGGGAAGAGGAAGCCGAAGAGGATGAAGAGCTAGAGTGTTGTTCCTGCACAAATAGAGAGCCTGAAGGTGGTGGTGGCGGTGGACCATAGTTATCAGTGGGCGGTGCTGGCGGACGTGGTGGTCCGTAGTTGGCACCTGGTGGTGGTAAGTAGTTACCACTAGGAGGTGGACCGTAACTATCAATTGGTGGTGGTTGTGGTGGTGGAGGTCCATAATTACCGCTTGGTGGTGCTGGTACTCCACCAATACCAATGTCATTGTGCCGTTGCGCGTGTATTGAGCCCGGTGCGTAGGAGTCTGACGGTGGTTTGCTGTACGAATCATCGCCGTTGCCGCCAAGAGAAATCTGTTTGGATGAAAAAAAAACTGCTATGTACATAAGCCTTCAAACCAAATTGGAGTTAGCTCACCTGTAATGCGTCGGTTTCTATGGAATTGATGTTTTGTTGATTGAAGTCTCCTGCGGGTCCAGATGGAGGAAGTTGTGGTCCATTTGAGTGCGAGTCGAAGCCACCCGATTGTAATGCAACAGCAACAAGTTGTTCATCAGTCAATCCGTCGATAATGCTGCCGCCACTGCCACTTGGGCCGCTACCGTGACCGCCTCCGGAACCAGCAGAAATACTTGCACCTCCATTATACTGTGTACCGAAACTACCCTGTGCAACATGACTGTAACCAGATTGAGTCTCGATGTTGTTGCCCTCAACATATGAGCCTATAGGCGCTGGTATTGGCTTCCAACCATCACAAGCTGTGTGAAATGGTGCTTGTGAGCCGCTTACGCTGTGTGTATGACCGGAGGCATCTATTTGAATTTGAACCTGCTTCACCGGACCGCCGCCGTTGCCACCATGATGGTGATGATGTCCACCGGAAGAACTGCCGCCGCCACCGCCGCTTGCTAAAATGATCGTTGTTTCTGGCACTTTGTTAAAATTAGCAGGCGCTGGACCAGGTCCGACAAGACCTAAAGGCAAAGGCAATGGCGGTCCATACAAAGGTTTCGGTGGACCATACACCGGTTTTGGTGGTAAATTCAGTGGACCCGATGGTGGCGGTCCATAAGAGCTGGCGGGTGAATGTTCTGGTTTGAATAGTGGTGCGGGTAATGATGAAGGCAGTGACTGTGGTGGTGGACCGTAGCTGGGACGTGGTGGTGGACCATATTGTGGAGATGGTTTCGGCGGTGGCGGGCCATATTGTGGCGCTGGTCGGGATGGTGGTGGGCCATATTGCTGTCGTGGTGGACCATAATTAGGTGCTGGCCTATGTTGACTATGTGGTGGCCCATAGTATGGTTTTGGTACGCCAAAATGCGTTTTGATTTGTTCATGGAAGCCACTGTTGAAGCTGTTGCTACTGCTGCTGCTACTGCTGCTGCTACTGCTGCTGCTGCTACTCGAAGAGAAGCCACCACTACCACTGCTTATGAATTTCGGTGGTCCATATTTGAGTGCTGGCGGGCCATATTCACGGAAGGGTATTTGCTGTGGTACGCCATACTCACGATGTGGCAGACGTTGAGGTGGTGGGCCATATTGCGATTGTGGCTTCACGACAACGGCATCGCTGAAGGTGACCGCTAGCAGAAGCACTACTGCTGATATCCGCAGAATCATCTGCAAAGAAATATAATAAATTAGGTTGTTGGGTGGAAATGAATTTATAAAATGAAATGGCTGGCATTCATTGCATGGAAAAAGTAGTTACATTTATTTATTACATTGTAAAATGCTCTTTTTTATTTAACATACGACGTAATAGACGCTGCATCAAAATAATAATTTTTACTTTGATCAAAAAATATATGAAAAAATTTCAATCGATTCAGTAGAAATATTTGTTAATCTAATCGTTGAGGCATTTATAAAAATAAATAAAAATGTTCTTACGCGCAGAAAAATGCTCTCGTTAATGTTAAATCGTCAACAGAGAATGTTAAACGTTGAACTGTTGCTGTTGAAGTGTGCTGTTAACATCAGAGCAAGCAGCTATTTTAAAATTAACATTAAGAAAGAGAGAGATAACATGCCACCGAAACGAAATAAAATCATTTCGTTTATTTTATTTCTCATATTAAAAAAAACTGAATGGCATCGTTTCCTCAGCTCAGCAGCTCTGTTAGATACATTTAACATTATTCTGTTAGCAAGAAAATGCCTTCCAATTATTTATGCAGAGGCATGGGGTGAAAGCGTGACTCGCTTGAAGTTGGAACTGGTTGGGAAAATATTTTAAAAATTCTTTGCTGATAAAATTATAGTGGGTTTTAGATATTCATATTTATATAATCCAATAGTAAATAAAAAAAATTTGGTATAATCACAAATATATATATGAATATAGAGCGACCTACAGATGGATACTCATACAGTCTGAATTTTTCCTCTCACCATCGTTTTTTTTTTTTGTTATTGCACCACGTTTTTTTTTTAATTATTTTTGGAATATAATTTTTTCATTTCGTGGTGTTTTGTCGTCCGTATAGACAACACCACAGTGGCTTAGAAAGTTATTAATGCAGTACCCGCCGGTGGAGGTTGGTTGTACCGTTTGCCCTCATCAGGCGAAAAGACTGGCATGTTTTTTGAATTAAACGAAAATATTTTTCATAAAATTGCTCTAAATCTCACTTTACTGCAGAGTTGCCATATTTTAAAAATTTAGCTGGAATTATAATTCAAAGTTAGCCATTTCCACAAATTTTTTCTTTCAATTTTATGCTTCCGCGATTCAACGCAAAATCCCAAAAAATTTTCAAGCGGCTTTCCTTACATAGAATTAATCACATTCCGAGCGTACTCAACCGTTATTTAATAGCTATTACCAACGCAGTTGAGTGCATTGATACACTACACTGACTGCCTCAAAGCTCTAGTTGAGCTATGTAGTGTATATATGTAAGTGAATTGAGTTGATTAATAATATCACAGATTAATTACAATCAAATTAATTTCAATAGAAAATTTCGTTAAAATTTCAGCGTGTACTAAACTCATTATACAGTTATTTATGCAAGTGAGTATGTGTATATGTAAGTATATATTTGTGTAAATAACAGTGCTGAGCACCGGTGTCTGCTTACGGCACTACCAAAGTACTCTGTTCTCTTACAGTGAGTGCATTACTAACAGCGCCAAACATGCTGGACGTGTGTGAAGCACAAGTTTTGTATAAAGGCAACAATAAATAAATATATTTTACGGTAAATACAAAATTCCGTTGAGACATTTGAAAATGTTATAGTTAAAACAGTTAACAAAATAAATTTCATATCGTTTTTACCCGAAGCAAAATGCGGTCGTTATGTTATGTTAAAACGTTAACAGATAATGTTAAGTGTTAAAATTGAACTGTGCTATTAACAGCACAGGAAGTGGCCATGTTAAATTAATGTTAACGCTGAGTTTGAGAAGTTTAAACAATAATAATTTCATTTTGTTAACATGAAGGCGAAATGAAACAAAATAATTTCTTTAAATATATATGTAAAAATGTTAAGCGGTGTACTAGTGCCCAACTGTGGTGAATATGTACAGATGTATATATTTAAAATATCATTTTATTGCGAAATAAAGTTTGCGCATTTCAGTTTCAGTGCATGCACAAAAAAAAATTTAAATAAATATAAAAAAAAATAAAAAAAAAATAAAAATAAAAAAAAAAATAATAGAAAATAAAAATAATAAAAACAAAAGTGTAGCGAACTTTCACCCACTCAATATAAACAACTCTGTCGCATGACATGTTGCATGTTATATACTATTCACATACACACATATACATGCATGCATGCATGTACTCGTATATTAGTGGTTATTGCGGCACCTTGATGCTGGCGGTCCGTTAGCTCAAGCCACAGAGCGCCACAGCGCACCACAAATACACATATTTACATACATACCTGTGCATATATGTACGCGTATAGGCAGCTGGGTCATCATGACGCAGCAAACCGAATTTGAAATGGAATTTAATTATGAAACTACTGAAATTTCGCAAAGCAAAAACAACAACAAAATATTGGGAAAAATTGGAAAATGCAGGTGCTTATGCAGAGAATTAGTAGACCCCGGCGGTTTGTGTCTGACTACCTGCCGCCGCACACAAATAGTTTCAAACATACTATATATATATGCATACATATGTACATTCATATATCGTATATACATATGTGGGTGCTTTCAAATACCACAGAGTCAAACATACGTACCTACAAACACACAAAGCATACATATCTATTGCCATATGTAGTTAAGTCAAAGGCACATTTCGGGCGCCATCCAACTAATACAGCGCAGCTGAGTGAGTAATCAGTCAACTTATTCAGTGCGCTGAACGCAACGACGGTAGCTATGGAAATTGTCGGCTGACGGCTGCCAGGTGAAGTTACGTGTTATTTATATACAATACATACGTGTATGTCTGCATGCATCTATGTCTGCATGCATCTATGTCTACATGTATGTATGTCGTATTGTCGCTGGCATTTGCTGCCATGGCAGTGGGTCGATCGTTCACATTGACTTTGTGGCGTTGGGCTACAAATGCGGGCGTATAATTGCTAATGATCCTATGGCACATACATACATACATACACGAACATACATAACTTTGTGGTGCTATTGGCACTTGCTGAATGTGCATGCATACAAATATACGCGCTATCAAATTAAGTTTGCTATGTTGAATTTGCGACCGCTTTATGTCGCTTGACAAACAACAAACCATTTTGTCAGTCTCCTGCTGGATTGTCTTTTTTTTTTTTTGTTTTTTCTCTATTTATTATCAACCACGCATTTTGCGGTCACCTGTCGGAATTTAAAGCGCAGTGATAGTTGGGTGTTCGGTCGGTTGGTGATTGACTTTTTGCATTGTGGCAATTGATTTTATAAAATTTTCAACAATTTTTTTTTTCTATGCTTTATTGTTGTTGTCCAGGGCTTGCATGCTTAATATGGTAGCTCTAGAACAAAATCAAGCATTTGACGAAAAAATATGTATATCTACATATGTCGGCCAACAGGCCTATTGTGTTACCACTGTGCGGATCCTGACTTTACCTGCCTAAGGCATTAGCCTGTTTTAGAAGCTGCAAAAAATGAATTTTTTTCTCAAATCTATTCTCAAACTATACAAAAATATGTCTTCAAAATTAAGGTGGCCAATTTGACATATTTTAGTATCTAGAAGAGTTTTAGTGGCCTCGACGCTCGGCTCGGCAGATTCGAATGTTCGAACAGAGCTTTGAAGCGCGTTTTTTCGAGTTTTCATTCTTACAACCTTAGAAAACGGTGCAAGTGATAGTACGCAGAATATATATGCGATCGAAGAAGATCATTGTAATCTAGCTTCAATATTAAATTATCTACTATTTGTGCTTAAAAACCTGGACAAAAGCATATTTTAAACTATTTTTTTTGGAACTTAAAGTATTTTTTTTGTTAAAAAGTAGTTTTTAACATTCAAAGTTCGAAAAAATTTGGTATTTCCCAGTTTTTTTTTTGGTATTTTTTTAATTCATATAGAAGAAACACTAATAATATTAAAAAAATAATAATGGCTCGACTGTTACAGATGCATCGCACGACCTCCCTCATCGGCAGCATTTCACGAGTTCAAACGGCAGCCGCTACAGCAAACTCATCACAACATTGGTATTTCCAATATATTTTGATACTGTTAAAATTATATTTTAAAGCTTAAATATAGTATATTATCGTCTGAAAATGTCAGATGGTAATACTGTACATTAACAGTGGTAGTGTTCAATAGGCTGTTCTTCTTTTTCATCCCCTGAAGCCCCGCTAAACAGTGACCTGTTATTATGACTGTCATTATGTTAAAGGATCACTGGTCTAGATGTTTAATATATTTTGATTTTTTGGCATCCAATTTTGACCATAACTATATGGCATCCCTACAAGTACTTCGCATAAAATAAAATAATAATAATAATAATAAGAATAATAATAATAATAATAATAATAATAATAATAATAATAATAATAATAACAATAATTTAAAAAAAAAAAACCAATTAACGCATATTTACTTTTTTATCTTCGATGGAGTGAAATAATTTATATTTTATTATTAAAATTTGGTATTTCTTTAAATTTCAAATTTAAAGGAAAACTTAAGTCAAATTGTTTAAAAGGAAAAATGAAAAAAATTTATATTCTTAATGAATAAATTTTTGAAGTGACGCCTCTCTTCCACACAGCCTCGATTGAGACTTTTTTCCAGCCGGCGATTGAAACATGACAATTTACGTCACTTCTTTCCTTAGACACGAAACAACAGCAAAAAGAAATATACTAAAATGTAAAAATTTGATTTTTTAACGGATATTAAATTTATAAATAATTAATTCGTAAGAGTAAATACCACATTAAATGTGTCAGACTATCCGCTTTGGCTAAGACTTAGCATACGATACGATTACATTAAATTTAATATGACTGCTTGCTATGTTATTAACAGCGCATTTCAACAGCAGCACTACAACGTTCAACATTAGCTGTTATTTAACATAACATGGCAACAGCTTGCGTTTCTTGTATAAACGAAATAATTTTTTTTTTGATAACTGTATTAACCGTAATATTTCCGATTG